ATGGTATTGGGGAGAGAAAATGCCTGTTACCTTGAGCAAAAAAAAAAATAATAATTAAAAACTACATTTGAAAATGTATTTTGTGGTATGTAAAATGGGAAACATATCCATTCAGAATCCGTGATACTTTCGAGATTCAAATGCAAAGTAGGTGATACAACATAGTTTTGCCAAATCTGATGCCAGAAATGAGGTAGTGGCTCATTTTGACATGCAACCAGTCTCTCTTTCAACTGTTTCAGAGGCTCACTTCTACCTTCTGTATTGCGTATGTAAGCCCCACTGTTACAGATGTCCCATGTAATTTTGATTTTCAAATAACTGAAATAAAAATTCTTTTGGCTTTATCCTGCCCTCCTTTTGGAGACAAAGCATAACCCTTGCCTGGAAAAAATAAAAAAGTGTATTCTTATTCTAGAACCTGACCCTCCGTATCACACACATTCCTCCAGGGGTATTTGCAGCAGCTTTTTCAAAGCATATTGTCTCCATCTGCATTTTTCACCCCACGCCCCCCCTAATGTTAACGACACCAGGTATGGCTCAGGAATGTTCTGATCTCTGGCCTTTCAATTGGATTCCTCTTGTTCTGTTTCGTTCCCGAACTAAACAGTTTTCTCAGGTATTAATTCAGTCCCATTTTCATGACAGCTACAGTTCTGCTTCTGTCACGTCCTCATCGGGACAGCAGTAATATTCCACAAAGCAGATCTCTCCGTCTTCGTTCCTTATCATATATTGCAATGAAAGAAAACCTCGGTTATCTGTCCGAATGGATACCTTGCAAGACAGAGCTAACGCTTTAATTGATGGCTTGAGTAATGATATCTTGTATCTGTAAAAAGGAAAGGTATAATGTCAAGTATAACATAGGTGTAAGTGACTGCCGTGAGACATGGTGGCTCAGTGGCTAAGACACTGAGCTTGTCAATCAGAAAGATCGGCAGCTCGGAGGTTCGAATCCCTAGCGCCACGTAACGGACTGAGTTCCCGTTACTCGTTTCAGCTTCTGCCAACCTAGCAGTTCGAAAGCATGTAAAAATGCAAGTAGAAAAATAGGAACCACCTTTGGTGGGAAGGTAACAGTGTTCTATG